AGGTGGGATAAATTCAAGGTCATATTTTGGTTCTCGTGGACTTGTTCTCATGTTCTTCAGCTTCAGTTTGAATTTGCATATGAGTAATTGATGGTCTGTTCCACAGTCTGCCCCTGGCCTTGTTTTCACTGATGATATGGAGCTTTTCCATCTTCTCTTTCCACAGATGTAGTCAATTTGATTTCTATATGTTCCATGTGTATAGTCATCTGTTATGCTATCTAAAGAAGGTATTTGAAATAAACAAATCATTTGTTTTGCAGAAATCTATCATTCGTTCTCCAGCATCTTTTCTATCACCAAGTCCAAATTTTCCAACTACTAGTCCTTCCTCTTTGCTCCCAACCTTTGCATTCCAATCACCAGTAATGAGCAATACATCTTGATTGCATGTTTGATAGATTTCAGATTGAAGAAGTTGGTAGAATTCTATTTCATCTTCACTGGCCCTAGTGGTTGATGCCTAAATTTGAATAATAATAATATTAACTGGGCTTCCCTGTAGACGCATGGATATTATCCTATCACTTATAGCATTGTACCTCATGACTGATCTGGATATGTTCTTTTTGACAATGAATGCAACACCATTCCTCTTCAATTTGTCATTCCCTGCATAGTAAACCATGTGGTTGTCAGATTCAAAATGGCCAATACCAGTCCATTTCAGCTCACTAATGCCTAAGATATCGATGTTGATGCGTTCCATTTCATTTTTGACAACTTCCAATTTTCCCAGATTCATACTTCGTGCATTCCATTTTCCGATTTTCAAAGGATGTTTACAGCTGTTTCTCTTCATTTTAAATTGTGGCCCATTAGTAAATGAAGGTTCTGTGCGCTTTTCTCCCCCAAGCTTAACTCTAGTCACGTCATCATGGTCAACTCTACTTTGAGGAGGCATTTTTTTCCCAGTTGCATTCTGAGTGCCTTCCCACCTTCTGATCCTGTATCTGACAGTGTTTCTCTGCTATTTATAGAGTTTTCAGTGACTAGAGATTCGGAAGTAGTTTGTCACTCTTTCTTCCTATCTGTCTTTGTCTGGAAGCTCATCTGAAACCTGTCCACCATGGGTGACCCTGCTGGTTATTTAAATTACCAGTGGCAGAGCCCTCAGAATCACAACTCAATTCACCATAGCACGACAGACAGACGAGTGTATATGTATATGTATATATATGTAGTAAATCTTTGAGCAAATAACAGAATGAAGATTATCCAGTGCTCTCTATTCCTAGCACAATACTTAATGCTCTACACAACATGTCTCAAGCATATTTGGGAAATATTATTATCATGTAGTACATCTCATGCTTATCAATTCAACTCTTCCTTGGTACTAAGCAAAGAATAAAATAAAATAGAGCAGTCAACTGAGCACATATCTGAGGAGTAGGAAATAGGTGAAGTGGAAAAGCAAGGCTTAGACTTTGAATAACAGATTTTTGTTTTGTATTTTTGCTATATAAGCATGAAAGACAGGGCTGTCTGCTTCTGTAAAGATTCACAGTCTTGGAAACCTTATATAGAGCCCTATGAGTCAGAATAGACTTGATGCAAGTGGGTTTGGTTTTAGGGAATATTAAAGTATCCCTGTTGGTGCAGTACTTAAGCACTTAACTGCTTACTACAAGGTCAGTGGTTCAAAACTACCTGCAACTCCATGATAGACCAAAAAAAGAAACAACTCTCATAATCTGCTCCTATAAATGTTACAGCCCAGGAAACCCTATGGAGCATTCTATTCAATCTGATAGACTTGGAATTGAAGTGATTGCACACAACAATGAAGCAAAACAGGTTAGAAGAAGGATAATTTTACAATTTCAAGCTAATTTTGTATTTTTAATTTGCCTGTCTTCTTCTTTTTGTTGTCGCTAAGTGCCATTCAGTCCATTCCAACTCGTAGCAACCCTGTATAGGGTTTCCTAGGAGCAGCTGGTGAATTTGCACCACTTACCTTGGGGTTCAAACCAACTTTTCAGTCTAGCCACACCAGGAATGCCAGTCTTAGTCACTTTTAATGCCTTGTCAAAAGGGCCACAAATGTATAAATTGTGCAAAGGATAAGATTTTTCTGCTTAAGCTTCAATCATGAAGAAATCAGTTATTTTTTCTATAAGGAAAAACTAATTCTTTCAGGAAGAACAATTGGATCTGAATCCTTTTTATTTCAGGAAGGGGAATGCAGTAGCTTCCTATGTTAAGCAAAGGACTGTGAACCATAGGCGGTTCGAATATGCCAACTATACCATTCCTGTGAATATTTTAAATCCTCAGAAACCCTATACAAGGTCGCTATAAGTTGGAACTGACTCGACAGCACTTAACAGCAGGAAAAGATAAAAATTTATATACCATTTCATTTAAAAAGCAATTATGAACACAGAATTACTATGTGGAAAGTTTGTTTTAAGTGGGTATCTGTTTTAAAGCATCCAAGCATTTTATATCAAACATTATTACATACAAACACACACATATAGATATTGCTGTTAAGTGCTGTCCAGTTGGTTCCAACCCATAGTGACCCTGTATAGCGTTTCCGAGGATCAGCTGGTGAGCTTGAACCACCAACCTTGCAGTTCAAACGACTTTGCAGTCTGTCGCATTAACCCACAGCGCAACACCAGGACTCTCTCTATATACAGTATGTTGATTATCTGCATTCTAAAAAGTGAAGACAAAAATATGTTTTTTTTCTCTCCAGAGGACTTAGTAGGTCTAATCCTCAAGCTAAAATACTGGCCAATCAATTATAGAAACCATTAAATGATCTTTCCAAATGTTGCTGCTGCTGTTATGTGCCATGGATTCTGTTCCAACTCACAGCGACAACGTATAAGGTTTCTGAGGAATAGCTGTGGGGTTTGAGCCACCAACCTTATGGTTCAAACTGACCTTGCAGTCCAGTGCTTATCCTACAGCACCATGCCAGGACTCCAAATGTAGGGGAAACAGTTCACATGGTCTTAATGGGCTTTTTAAGAAAGAAAAGTGTCTGAAGAGAACTTTTTCGATAGACGGTTATCAACCAGTTCCTCACCAAGCATTTATTTATATACTTATTTATCCATTTTTGGTGTATTTTAACAAGTAGCCGTTTGGATGACCAGTGTGTGCTGAAGTCCTTGTGATTTTAAGGGCTTAGTCCAGATAGTGGGTCATCTAATTTTTCTTTTCTGTCTCATTAGTCTACCCTTTGGTCCTCTTCTTATTAGCAGCACTTTCCCAGAGAGTGTAGGTGTTGGGGAGAAGGCAGAAAAACATAAATCTCCAGTTAGGTGAAGAAACAGGCTTAAGGAAAATCTAGTCATTTTATGAGATGTTCCAGTTTTCTATTATTACAGATATTTGGAAGCTGATTATATGAATCTCATTTTTCTCAAATCTATTGCCTGGTTATTTTCCTGTAGAAATACCACATACTCTGGGACTATCGATACCTAGAAGGTCACCAAAGAGTCCCTGATATTCCTGAATAATCGTGCAAGACAATCTTCCTAGTCTTCTCTGTTTTTAAGGCACCAGCTTCTTTGCCTCTTAATGGGACAGTAGTTACCAACACAGTCTCTCAGAGGTCTACAGCAGGAATGAGACCCAGTTGTCTGTGCTGGTAACTATTGTTAACATACCTTTTTGACTTTTCCTCTTTTTTTTTCTGTCTGACTTCTCCACTCCCTCATTGTGCTTTCATGATTACATCCCAAGTAAACTATTTGCACCCATGTCATTTTTATTTTGGGTAGGGGTACTCAAGATAAATCAGCGATCAAGGAATTATTTTATTTCTCTATTTATGGGAAATGTCCATAAAAGACAGATTTATAGAGACACAAAGTAGTTTAGTGGTTGTCTGAGGTTGAAGAGGAATAGGATTAACTGTATCTGGTCATGAGAGAGTTTAATTAGGAGACAAAAATATTCTAAAACTGATTATGGTGAGGTTAAAGTACTAAATATCATTCAATTGTACACTTGAAATGGGTAAATTTTATAGTATATAAAATACACCCCAGTAAAGTAATTACAAGAAACAAATTATTTCATTGTACGTGGATAGATAGTAAGATCCAGAGAAGTAAAAGACTTGATTAAGGTTATACAGAAAATACATACCAGATAAAGAAATACATAGAATTCAGGCCATAGTATTGTTCTGAGCAATAGCATTCATATGTCTATAGATTAATAATCTTGATTTAATACATTAAATATTAAATGACAGGAAAAATGTGAAAAGCACCAATGAACCCAATTAGTAATATATTTTATGATACTTAACAACAGGTATAATAATAAGCAACTATTTTAATATTTATACCAAATTCTTTACCAAGCTTTAATCATTTAGTTTTCACAATGTGCCAGAAAGTAGGCAATATTATAAGGCGGCTTCAAAGAGTTCATGGAAAAATTACATTACCTTTAAATTCCATTTTTCCAGGAATTTCTTGAAAATGCTTTGTGTTATCCCTTTTTTGCACATGAACAAAATGGAGTTTTAGAAAAACTAAATGACTTGCCAAAGGCCATAAAACTATGATCAGGTTGAGTGGGGGTTTATTCCTATGATTCAACACCTGAATGCATGCTGTATGGGGTTTCCTATTTGTGACTGGTGTGTGTGAACTGCCAACCTTGCAGTTTTCAGTCCAGTGCTTATCCTACAACACCACACCAGGACTCTAGTAGAATGCATACTTCTTGTTGTTGTTGTTAAGTGCCTTCGAGTTGGTTCCGACCCATAGTGACCCTGTACAGGGTTTCCGAGGCTGTAAATCCTTACGGGAGTAGAAAGCCTCATCTTTCTCCCACGGAGCGGCTGGTAGTTTCGAACCGCTGACCTTAAGGTTCACAGCCCGATTCGTAACCACTACGCTACCAGAGCTCCTTAGAATGCATACTAGTAATCAATATTTTACACTGCATCATCTCATGACTAGGATTTCTAACTCCTTTTACCACTCCAGTTTGCTTAGAGAAAGAAAATGCCATACCTCACTGTTGAGTTTGTTAATCTGCTGTTTGGTCTCCTCTGCTTTGATGAAGAGAACAGCAGCTCCAATCTCTGGGTCTGAAAAGTGATAAACAGATGAGTACTTTAGGAAGAAACCATACATTTGAAGACTGCACAGTTGGAATTGAGAGGAAAGTTGAGCTACTACCCTTACTCTTTCCTGATGCCAGGCACTACAGGCTTTGTCTCAGTGGAACTGGATCCACTTCTTTTACTCTTCCGGATGGCATCTAAGATACTCTGTATATACATCTATAGAGCTAAGCACACAGTATGGTGGTGACTATGACCACATTAATTGCATGGCAAATCTCCCCTTCTCCTGAACACAACCAGCTCCACGTTCCAACATGGCTCATTTTGTCTTCTGTAAACATTTTCTTAAAATATATCACAGTAAGTGTTCAGTCATAGGTAGAAAAGGAATGTTCTTTTGTTCACTTTGTTTTTTAAGCATTGGCCATTTGCTCCTGTGAAAAATTTTTTCCCATCTCTATTTTAGGTACTAATCTCTTTTCTACTTCTCTACCTTGCTAATTGTCTTCAAGTTGATTCCAACTCTTGGAGAGTGCATGTGTGCAGAGTAGAATTACCACATAGGGTTTTCAAGACTGTCAGAAGCACATCACAAAGTCTTTCTTCAGCAGCACAACTTACTGCATTCGAACTACAGACCTTGTGGTTTGCAGTCCATTGCTGATGCTACAGCACCACATAAGGGGGATTCAGAAAGTTCGTGAAAAAAGTATCATTCTCTTTTGATTTCATGTTCCATGGACTTTTGGAAGTCTCCTGTATATGATAATATGGCCATACCAATAATGGCAATTATAAATACAAAACTTATATTTAGGGGAAAATATTCCTTCCAACAATCTGAAGTGGTATCAATTTGTAGAGATGTTTTGCAGAAATAATCTAGACATTCAGTAAATTATTGGAGAGCAGCACCTATAAATAAATTACTCAGGACTCCTAGAGAGGAAACTGTAACAAAGGAAGAAAAAAGTAAAAGAGGGTTGGATTTTATTCAAAGGGCAATAGGAAGTCAGTGGAAATTTTTAAGCATAGGAGTTTAGTAATAATAAATTTGCATTTTTAGAGCGTTCACTCGGCATGGAGAACAGTGTGAAGCCAAACAAGAGACTGTTAGTAATCCATCCAAGAGATGAATGTAACCAAGAAAAGGGTGGTAGTATAGATAAAAAGTAATGGACAGAACTGGAAGATACTTACAAGGTAGAATCAGGAAACTTTGTTACTTGAATGGATAATTTTAGAGAATGTATGGGGAATATAAGGTTTGGTAAAACTTGAAATAGGTGGAGGGACATAGTGATGTTCTCTTCATTATTTTCAGATAAACCCACTGCAGCAAATTTTATGGCTATGACTATGCTTTCTATATAACTCCAACACACAACTTCCCTGATTTTAAACCATTCAGCATCCCTTGGTTCTGTTCAAACAACTGCCTCTTATCTTATGTACAGATTCCTCATGAGCACAATTAAGTGTTCCGGTATAATCATTCTCTGCAATGTTGTTCATAGCTTGTCATGATCCACACAGTCAAAAGCCTTTCCACAGTCAATAAAACACAGATAAACATCTTTCTGGAATTCTCTGCTTTCAGTCAAGA